AAATTATAAATAAAATATTAAATAATTTTTAAATATATTATTTTTTTTCAAACTTTTATGATATATTTAAATTTATATTTTATTTAAAAATAAAATCTCTTTTTCACACGTAAGAGAAAAAGTAAAATAAGATTTCTTTTTTCTTTCTTTTGGTTTCTGGAGAAATCTAGAGGAAGAGAGAGACCCCTACGCGCTTCAAAATAAATCTCAATCATCTAACAGACTCCAAAACCCAAAAGTTATCCAAATTGTGTGTTTGATCGTATAATCAAAATCATCACCTATTTCATCGGAGCTGCAGATTGTGTTAGGGTTTTGGTAAAGGATCATCTGCCCTATTATACAATGGAGGAAGCCTATTTTCCGCCCAAGTTGAAGAGGAAAGATCTTGATGAAGTTAACGATGACTTCTGCGACTTCTCTCTTTCTTCACCGGCTAGGAAAATCCGTCGTTTGGTACGTACAAACATACATCTATAAACCTATACTTGTGTCTGTGTGCGAGATCCTGTTTCTGATATGAAAACCTGTTCATGTTTCACCTGTAATTAGCAATTTAGCATTCTTTTCCACTTGATCATCTAGGTTTCGAGTGGTAGCTGCTCAATATTTGTTGAATACTCAACCAGATTAAGATTGGATTTTCTACGCGAAACCTAGAACCGTCGATTAGCAATTTTTCACCATTTGCTATAGTACTTGTTAGCAAATTTTTGTCAAATTAGTTTAGGTGACGAGATTTTGGTTTAGAAATTGTGCCCGATCACTTGGCAGCCTATGAATTTTTGCACCGGCAGGTTACATGAAGATGAGATGATCATCAACAACAATAATGGCCATGTGTATATGTATTTTGATCCTGTTATAGGCACTGAAACCTTTTTGTATGTTTAGCGTTGGTTAATGCAATTAACGGACATTGATTTTTTTTCTCTTCTTTCCTTCCATAAAACTTCAACTGTGAACCTTTTATTTTTCAATTTTTATCTGTGTTTTCATTTTATCATGAAATACTTATTCGCTATCTTGTTAGGATGCTGAATTGCCCCCAATAATCGAGGAAGAAGAAACGGTGAATCCGGTGGTATTTGGACAACCGCCTCCCTCTCGAGACAATTTTGTAGAACAAGTGGTGAGTGGTAGTCCCATAGCAATTCATGAGCTGAGTGGTAGTCTGCCGGAAAATGAAGAGAGGGCTATCGTTCTGTTTGATCCCTTGAATAACATGCTCCCGTTGCAACCTCACGCACCCTTCTCTTTTTCTGTTAATTCAGACTTCCTTTCAGGTTATAAAAGTAAGCTTTTCAACTCCATATCTATGTTCTTTGTTTGATCTTTTATTACGTTAATGTGTGTGTATTGGGTTCAGAAGTTGTGAGGGAAACTGGTTAGAGGGGGGATTAGATGCTAATAAAACCCTTTTGTGGGTGCCTTGCATTTGAGTATGAAATCGTCGCTTTAGAACTGCTAATCGGAGCTAGAATGAAGTACTTCAATTCATTATGTTTGATCTTGACTCCACTAATCCTTCCATCTATCAATATTTTGTGTCAAATTCAACTGATTAGAACTTAGCACCTTCTAGGAGCAATGAAAGTGAAAATATGGCCTATAGTTGTTCGTATTCCTTCTAAGTGGCGTGTTTTGGAAATCCTATCTGTATGGAATATTTGTTCATTGCCTTCACCTGTTGCTTTACTTATTATGATTTATGAAATCGATATGTTTGGCAAACTAGTAGATACGATAGCTGGCTAATAAAGCAGCTGATAAACTTAGTTATTTTAATAAAAACTGGCCGATAAGCTATATAACAATGTAAATGACCTAAAAGGTATATGAAGGCCATAATTGGAAAAAATGGGGAAAAAAAGCTCCCGAAGCTTATTGAAACGCTGCTTGTTTCAAAAAGCTAGCTTATGGCATACCAAACTGTCTTTTTCAATAAGCTCTCAAAAAATAAGCTAGGTTATTGTTGCCAAACATGGATCAGTTATATGTGTTCATTGTTAGATGGCGACTATCATTAGGTCTTTTCTTGTAGCTGGTGCAGTCACAAAAGTCGAATGATCCTTACCGTCGGTTTTATTGTGTACAGGTCCAGTCTTATGGTCAAACCAGTCCAACCTACTTAAATCACTAGTTGGTAAACAAGAGAAGCCTGCCAACAACTCTGAGCTGAATAGCGGAAGCCTGGCAGTTGTACCATGGGTGCCAAAGCAAGCACTGGCAGAAGTGGAGGCCCCTCGTATGGAAGTTGTATCTGAGATGATGGATGCGGATGATATGGAAGCCACAACCATGGATATCGAAGACAATTACTCTGAAGAAAAACCCGGAGCTGTGTTTGGGTCAGTGAATGGTGGTGAAGAATGGCAACAACATTGCATGATTCCTCAGCTTCCCCATAACTTGTCAACACCAATTGCTTGGTCAGCAGGTACAGGTGCGTAGGTTAGCTTACCTCACTTTATGATTCATGCCACTTGGATTGCGAGAAGGCTGGAATTCATGTTTTAGTTAGGATCTGAGATGGAGAGGAGATAAAATAGCCTGTTTTTGGATGTAAATAGTTCATGTGGTAGATGAATGTTTGGACTGGAAAAGAGGTTTTTGTACTTTGCTTCTGCTTCAAGAATCAAAATTGGTATTGTACATTTCGTGAGACGAGTTTTGTAAGTCTCAAAAGAGACCGGAACCGGTTATATAGAGTATCTGATGTAAGGTGGCTCGGCTGGCAGGTTGGTAAAAGAATTAGTGGCGTTCAGCTTGCAGAATGGAATTTGGTGGAATTGAAATTCGTCGGAGGAATTTGATTTTGAACGAACTGGAATGAAATTTGACCATGCATTTGGTTGGTAGGAATTGGAATGGAATCTCTCAAAAGAACTAGATTCTCTGTTAGTGGCATGGTGATATTGGTGGGCGGGTGGGTGTGGGTGCCCTTGATCCGCCGAACCCACCACCTCAACCATTATGAGGGGAAAATGATTTTTTATTATGTTCCCATCAATAAGAAACTTTGATTTTTAATGTTTGAGAGAGAAATGATATTTTATTACATGTATAAAATATTTTAATAATACAATTAATATTATAATCTTTAAAATGAAGAATATGTTGGAGTTAGGGGCCGTTTACAAAATACTTACCCGGTAAGTATTTACCGGGCAATTTTTTTTACTGGATGAATAATATGACAAGGAGCAAGAATCTTATCCGGTAAGAGCGATGATAAGAATTAAGAGTCTTACCTGGTAAGCGAGAGTGACGATTCTTACCCGGGTAAGTGTTTACCATGTAAATTGTTGAATAAAAGATGTTTTGATGTATTACAATCTTACCCGATAAAATAAATTATAGTGTTAATTTTTAACGATAAACGTTTACCGGATAAGTATTTAGGTAAACGGCTCTTTAGTAGATGTAATTTTTTTTTGGAGATTCTAAGTATTGATCTTTCATTTTGGAGAATTTGGTGGAGATGTTACGGATGATTTAGTAATTTATCAATTTTGTATATCTTGATTTTTGTTTCATTTATTTTTATGGGACATTTTTGTCCTTGTGAGTTAAATGCATTCCTATTTATAAATTTCTTCATCATACATATCAACATCATAGTCTACTTTTGACATCCTTAATGCATGAATTAGAGCATCTCCAATAAAGATTCTCATAAGAAGTCCTTTTTTGCACTTTTTGTTGCCATCTAATCCCCAGCTCTTCTAATAGTTCACAATTGTAGTTTTTATAAAAATCTTCTTTTTTAGGTCACATTGATTTTCTCAACGTTAATAATAATTATGAAGTCAAGAAAATAAAATAAAAAACCAGTAAAATATCACTTCTCACGAATTTCATGGCAAAAACTGAGGGGGAGTTTGGTTTGAAGAATGATTTCTAAGAGAATGAGATCTGTCAAAGGAGTTGGAATTTGGAACTAATTGGAATGAAATGTTTTCAGGTTTGATCAAGGTGTTTGATTGGTAGAAATGGAATTTAATCTGTCTAATGAATTGGAATATGTCTATTTGTTTGCAACAGAATTGAGATGGAATGATGAAAAAAGACAAAAATATCATTTCTTGGATATTTTTTTTAAAAAAGAATTAAATTTTTTTATATACAAATAACAGTAAGATTAACATTTAAGGAGGAAAAAAAATGTTTACCATTTATTGAATCATATATAAACATAAAACGTGAAAAAATTCAATCAACCATAAACCAAACCATTCATACAAGTTGACACATCAAGTACCCATATATAAATATTGCTACAAACAAGTGTTTACATATAGGTAGAAGTTGTCGAACCATAGCATCCAAGCAATAGGTAACACAAAAATATTGTCCAAGCAATATAGACCAATCATTGGTCTAACATAACCAAAAAATATTGTTTTTACCACCAATTGATCATTGGTCTAACGTAACCAAAAGATATTGTTTTTATCACCAACTGACTCATTGGTCCAACATGAAACAAACCTAGTTTTCACGTCTTTCCTCCTGCAAGCTCCAGAAAGTGATCACAGATTCAGAGTCCTTTGTTATCTTTTGCAATGCACAAAACATTTCAGTTTCTGAAAATGTTCCGAACTTCTCAATCTCATCGTCAATCATGGAAGTTTTTTTTGAGCATTTCAACTTCAACTTCAACTTCCAAAACATCTTTCTATAACATTTCGTGCAGAAGAATGCTTCATGTTGAAAAATTCTTTTGTCGTTGTTGTTTGGTGTCCCTCACACCAATCATTTAAATAATACCTTTGACCTCTATAAGGGGCGAGAAAACCCTCCCCATTTGTGTACCCCACATCTAGCAAGCAATAACATGGCCTTGACATTTTCAATCCATGTGGTCTAAGAAATGCATCACGAAGAACTTGACCGTCAACGGCTGAACCCTCCCATCCAGGTAACACATAGATAAATTGCATATCTTGTGAACGCACACCTAATACATTTGTAGCAATATCACCTTTTCTTATTTTGTATCTAGGTCTGTCTTCAAGTGGTACTAAACACTTGATATATATTCCATTTAGAGCTCCTAAACAATTCTAAAAAAAACAAATGGTTTATAATATCCGTGTTTCATTAAATAGAACCGGTGCAGGAACAAAAGCCTTGTTAGTCCTGATTGACAATAGATTTTCTAATCTTGATCAAGCTATTATAGGAACCATGGAAATTGATTTAAATAAAAATATAGGTGTTGCTTATATTGCTCCTCAAAACTTTTCATTAAGTGTTAGTGATTTCTGTAAGCATGTTACCTTGCAAATACAAACACTAGAATATGAAAACTTTATAGGAAGAAATATTGGAGTAGAAATTGTGTTCTTAGGAAGACTAACTGGAATAACAGGAAGTCAGTATAATGTTGATATTGACTCAATCATACAGACTTTGTCTTCTAGAGGAATACAAATGATACCCCCAGTCCACATTGATTCTCAAACCATTGCTGGAAGCGAATGGACCATTCCATTTCACAGAGAAACAACTACTATTGTCCCCACAAGTTATGTCTCTTACATCAACCCTAGTGGATCTAAATCTCTGAGATTTAGAAATTATAAGGACAATGCCTCATCTTCACATATTGATGATGAAACTGAAACTACTGATGAAGATCCTCATAGATCTTCCACTAGTTTTATGAATGTTGAATTAAGTGATGAATGTGATACATTAGAAGAAGACTCTAAGTACTTTGATTCTAGTAACCCAAATGAAATCAAACCCTTTTTAGTCAAGTATACTCCTCCTGAGTCAAGCAAGATTAAAATTGAAGATATCAAACCCACTGGATGGAGTGAGACAGATCATAAAATTCTTTACCCCAAAGAATTATTTGGTTATACTC